GAAACAGAGGAACAGGAGGATAAGAAAAGAGAGGAAGTTATATCTAGAGCTACACGAAGCGATGGAGTGTTTAGAACACATATGTTCAGAAGGGTGCACAATAGTGGGGCCGTACAACGTGGAGCCAAAGAAGGAGAGAGAACCCTGCAGCCATTACTCCACGTGTCACGGCCTCCAGCTTCTGATCAAACACTCCGCCACATGTAAGAAGCGGACCAACGGCCTAGGATGTGGGCGGTGCAAGCGCATGTGGCAGCTCCTGAAGCTCCACTCCTCCATCTGCGACCATTCCGAGTGCTGCAAAGTCCCTCTCTGCCAGAAATTCAAACAGCGGTCGTCGCCAGACGACGGCAACAAGCGCAAGGACGACGCGCAGTGGAAGATGCTTGTCCGGAGAGTGGTTTCCGCAAAAGCCATGTCTTCCCTGTCTTTGAGCAATATGAAGATGTCGGATGTGGAGGAGGAGAGGGCCATCAGGCAGCGTAGGATCGGGAGCTTTAGGTTGCAGTCGGGTCGACGGCAGAGATGACGATGCAGGTACTCAACGGGGGAGGGGCTGGGATTGGGGTGGTAAAAACTGGAAGCAGGGGAATGTGGTTTGTAAATTATTTTTTGTTTGGACCAATTTTCTTTTGGGAGTAGATGAAAGCCATTGTAATAATGCATGAAAGCATTATTAAAATTAAAAATAAAAAAAAAATAATAATAAAAAAAAAACAGAAAAAGAAAAAGAAAAAGAGAGAAAAAAAAAAGTAATTACGGTTAGAAAAAAGGATGTGAAATCCGTGTACCTCCCTCCTCCTTCCATTTACGCAAATGGATATTTATGTTTATTTCTGTGTGGGATTTTCTTCTTTAAATTTTATTTTATTATCTTTGCTTTTTAATTTCCTTCGTAAATAAATTATTCTAGCCAAATTACCTGTTTAAAATAAAATAAAATATATAGATAAAAAATTAGTTATATTTATCTTTTTCTTTTTTGTAAACTCTATTTAAATTAAATTGTATAATAGGTATTTCAATTTATTTTTATTTAAAATTTAAAAGGAAATGGTCGGTTTCTTTTACTTTTTCAATAGTGATCTTCAAATATTTAAAAAATATATCACAAATTGATATTATTTTTCTTGGAAATTTTCTATTTTAATTTGATCGAATTTTTTACATAATTAGGGTTTTTTTTTTTTTTTTTTTTTTTTTTTTTTTTTTTTTTTTTTTTTTT